GACTCGTGCGCGGCGGCCGACAACACGTACAGCAGGTAAGGACAGCCGTTCGGGCGGTAAGTGCACGTCACCTTGACGAAGGACATGGACTCGTGCAGCTTCCGGGCGGACGCGGGCTGCGGAAGCGCGCGCCAGCCGCCGTACGCGTCCGTGGTCGGCGGCGTGCGTCCGTCTTCCAGGCGGGCGGGCGACGACCGGCACAGCGGACACTTGGGCGGCGTCTGCGGGTTCAGCCTGTTCATCGTGTTCGAGCAATCGTCGCACAGCCCGTGCCCGTTGTCGCAGCACGTCGACATGGCGCCCGACAGTTCCTTGCACACCGGACACTCGAGCGCGCGGCGCACGCCGTCCGACAGCTGTTGGATTTCGTCCGACTCTGTCCAGCCGCGGTCGGGCTGGTCCGACGTCGACTCCGCGGCCATCGCCCCGGACGACTTGGACGCCTCAGCCGCGCCGCCGTAGTCGTAATGCCCGTTTCCGGACGGCACGGGATCGCGGTTCCGGTGACGTCCGTCCATTTCGTCGTCGTCGTCGTATTCAGTGCGGCCGGAAACGGTAGTCGGCGGTGACAGGACGGCGAGGTGAAGCACGAGCACGCGGACGATTTTGTGCCGGACAATATCAATGTTGCTTTATTCACGTGTACCGTGCTGCAGCGTATGTAATTATTATTATTGTCGTTGTCGTCCTCGTCGTCTTCTTTGCTGCGATCGCGATCGGTCGATATCAAAATATTTTTTTTTACGGCCTGCCGACAATCGGTCGAGCCAAATGTATGTTTGTTTGTTTGTTTGTTTTTTTTTTTTTTCCTGATCGGTCCGACTGCACGTTCGCTGTTGCCGGGCGCACGGCTGCCTTGGCGACCGCGCGAGTGTTTGGCGGCGGCGCCGTAGCGGTCGGTCGGCCGTATGACCGCGCTGAAGGATATTATTGACTTGTGCGGGGAAGGGAATTGGAGGGAGACGGAAAAGCGGAAAAAAATAATTAAGCCCATCACATAGAGAAACGAAAACAAACCGCAAAAATTCGCCGAGTAAACGAGCGAGATCAGTAAATACAGAGACGATAAAGAGATGTTTATTCGAATGCGTACCTAATTTCATTCGTATACCTACGTTTCAAAACTAATTTTTTAGATTTATCTGGACCGATATCAAATATCGTGATCAATTGTTTGATAATTTTCTATTATTAATTACGACAACGTTGGAACACATGTATACATTTATTGTTTTCAGTTTTATTGTTAAGAAATTCTGTTCTCGGTCGTATTTTACCGAGTCGTTCTGGTCCGATATCTCGCTACGATGCCCAACTAGTGGCGATCTGCGCCAATATCTTTTCAACGTTATATTTTGTATATTATTACTAATGATTATATAATACTATAATTATTATAAATTTATGTATTAAAAAACTTATATTTTTAAACAGCGCTTAAATTTCCTATTATTTAATGGTTGCGTTGACATAATATTCTGAAAACGATTATTTATAAATTATTATATTATAAAGTAAACCACGTTGTCAGGGCTCGTTTTATGCGTAATTTACCGCACAATATTATACCTTGTCCGTGTAAAAACACAGTGTCGTATTTTATTTGTTTGTGTTTCGAATTCAGTGAATTCAGTCGTTTTTTATTCAACATTATTACAGTTGCTATTCGTTACCTCTAACTAGCATATACCCTGCATGCAACGCTCGTCGTCCACTACCAAAATTCGGCGGTTTATCTATTTTTTTTCTTACGATATACGGCGCCACTCTCATTATTATGCGCACCTACAGATAATATGTGTTCATATATAAGCCACTGTGCGCGCCGCCGTTATCCATAAAGTTGAGCGTAATTTCCTCGAACGATTTTCGCACGAACGATTTGCATTCTAATGCTATGCCGATCTATACAACGTTTTGGTTGGTTGCTAACACCGTTTTTTTTTTTTTTTTTTTAATATATTATAATATATATAATATATTATAATATATTATTTCTCGCAATGTTACAGATATTCATCCGACATAATATATTAATATGATTATTCAGCATAGCATTATGATCCAAGTATACCCCTTGATATTATTCTACGCAAGTCAGTAAAAGGGACAGGTCAAACGTTTTTACACAGCTGTACTACACAATAATAATAGGAATATGATATATTTGTCATATAGTTGTTTGATTGAAGAATGGTTGTACAGAAATAATATACATACTATATGATTCATAAAAGTAATCAACATTTTATAAAGAAATAAGCTTCAATGAGTTAACAACGAAATCTTGACTTGACGTTAAGACGTATTATTTTTTCGAAGAAAAACATTGTTTATCGATTTGTTGTTAGAAACTCGTAAACAAAAAGGCAATACTAGACAATTTTCATATTTTGCGAATTGAAAAACTGGCATTTGTTATTTTAATTTATAAGACCATAAAACTCCTGTAGCTAGTAGGTATACTTACTATCAATATATACCTACCGGAATAATCCAATAAAAGAAAAATAATTTTTGTAAGGATCAACAACGGTGCTTTAGAAGTTGTAATTTGCACCAACATTTTAAATTAGTATCTAATGTATTCGATTATTTCGTAACTTCTTCTATACACATTTTTATTAATATTTTTTAACTCTGTTTTTTTACGGTGCCTTCAAAAGTAAATACACTATTATAATATGTTACTGTAATTTATCTTTTTATAAGTAACATAAAAAATGTTTTCTAAAAAACAATGAATTTATTATAATATAATTAATTTTATTATGATACAAGATATAATGTGATTTAATGCGTGACATCTTAACGCAACACCAATATATTTTCTAATTTTTATAAATAATTTTATATTCAATTATGTGTTTCATTTCTTATTGTTATTAAATAGTTGTATGTCAATACTGAAATACCGTTAAACAATGTGAATAGGTTAGTGAAATAAACGTTTAAAACCTGAGTTGGAATATTTCATGTTATTAGCTTCTCACATATCTCAGCACATAATACTTTTCTAACGTAAATTACAAAAATAAAAACTGATTTTAGTTCTGGTAAAAATTACAGTTCATATTGTCTAATACTTAAAATGGTAGTAACCTTATTTTTTGATGCAAATTACAAATTCAATTAAAAAATGTTTGTACAAATAACATGTGTTGTATATATTTGGAGGCAATATTGGTGAAAATTGACTACAGCCGGTGTTTTGTGTCATCATGAATACTCTGCAGTGTGTATGAGGAAAATAGGACAACCAACCACTTTTGTTATTATGATATAGTCTATGGACGTGTGTTTTTACAAAATCTATTCGCATATCTCTCATGATGACTTTGGAACCAAATACGTGTCCTATTTGTAGTGACAAATCTTTGTCTCCGAACAATCGCAGCGTGTATACTGTATATTATTAAATAATCAATGTGTCACGAATACAGTAAATAGTACTCTAGCATCCGTGTCCCCAAAAAAAACATACCTAATTTTAATTAATCAATACATACTATACTATACACTCCATGATGGTATTATAATCGAAAAAAATGTCAGACACACATTATAAAACTTAAAGTTATATCGATGATACAAGATAAATAATTAATCTGACATCATAACTAGTATGACCCTAGCTATGTACCATTGTTTTGTCTCAAATCAATTTTAATTACGAACATGTATATTTTTATAAAACTCCTATACGTCTTGCGTACTTTGTATATATGTATATAGATGTGTGTGCCAATATGTTATGATAATGATACACATTTTTTTTTTTTTTTAATTTTATTACTTTTAAACGGACCATTTAGCATTCAACACTATATTATTATTAATTTGTTTGTTTTGGTACGCATTGTAGATCAATTAAAAAAAAAAAAAAAACATCAACAATAACACATATTTTGTAAATATAATTGTGTTATTTTGATAACAAGCGTTTAGTAAAAAGAAATTACATGTAAGAAACATTAAATAATATTATAACGAACGATGATTGATTATTTAATTTATTTATTTTCTATTGATATGGTCAACACATATTTAAATTGGTTTCATCAGCTATTTTTCATCATCGTGGTATACAATTTTAATATTTTTCTGTTATAGGGGATTTGGTATCATTATGCCGTCATGGCATCAAGTTTTTTGTATTCAGCGGAAATAAAAATCAATTCATTGCTGATTCCTAACACGTGATGCTTTATATAAATTCCATGTAAATACTTATACCGTAATATTGCATCATGGTTAATCGATATTATAATAATGGCGTTACGGTGTACGTTTTACAACCGAAAAACAAATGAAATATTATCTTTCATATGTCCAACTATCACCATAGATATAATATAAAGCCAAAGGCTGTACATGTTCAACACACCTAAGTGTTATGTGCGTATACTAATGGCAGAGCTTAATACAACAATAACGATAATCCATCTAGACAACAATGTCGTAGGAGTAAAAAGGGGAAAACTATAATTTAGGGCCATTATATCTATAAAAACCACGGTGAACTGTTTCAATAACTTATTCTGTATATCATCATCAATGAGCTGTCATAGTTATGGTAAAATTTATATTTTCATTTTACAAGTTATACAGTAAATTATTTCTTCAGTATAAATACACATATTATACATAATGTATATTTATAAAAGCGAAAAGTATAATCAATAAATTTGACTGTATTAAAAACGTAAGTAGGATAAAATATTAATGTGTGAGAATAATGTTAATAAAATGGTTTGAAAATGTCAAACAAAGAGCTTTGCAAGTTTGTGTTTTACAATCGTCACATTTCTTGGTGAATACATTACGAACACGACATTTAAAACCTATACCCTATTCACGTGCGTAGATTAAGTATGAGTTATAGAAACTTTGGAGTTCACAGTAATTATTAGATAATATCTGATTTTTGATAATACCTAAGTTTCAAGTATACTAGTATATAATGTACACGCGTTGAATATAATATGTATTATACTTACTTTTGGACTTGGCGGGCGGACATTTGGCGAACACCGGCATGGTTGCCATCCATCCCGTCACGGCTGCATAGTCATCTTCGGTGAACTTGTATTCTTTAGTCTTGTTGGACTGCCGGATAAACGGTTTCCGGCAGGATGAATCAAACGTCGAGCTTCCGGTGGTCATACGCGGACGGTATCCATGTCTGTCGGACGACGGTGGCTGCACCGTCACGGTCTTGAAAAGCTCGTCGTGGCCAAGGGCGTTGGGTTTCATTTCCATCGCGTGTATGACCGGCAATGGAATGTTCTGGTTGCGGGAGGCGACTCTCTGTGACTTCGGGTACCGTTGCGCTTTCGGTGGCGTCGGACGGCACTGGTCCGCTGGTTCGCAATCCAACACCTCAATCACGCCCACGGGTATCCGGTCAAGATCGCTTTTCCTAGAGTCACCGGCCACCGGCCATTCAGTTGATGACGATGAAAACGGCGACGGAGTCGGTGGCGGTGGACCGGCGTCCAAAGACAGTGCGGCCACGGGACCCCCTGATCTGGCTGCCAGGCGATCACTGTAGTGAGCTTTTTCTGTCCACACGTACATTGGTTCCGGTTCCGGTTCGGTGGTAGAGCTTAGAACCGCTATTGTTCCAGTTTCTGCAGCTAGTTTCCTCACCGCCGTCGCCTTTACGAAGCGTGACTCCAATTGGGGCTGCGATAATGACCCGACGAGCTGCGGCCGTTGCCGTTTGTTGGCCGGTGACGCGTCCGCCGATTTGCACTTGGCCGTCGTTCTCGGTATGGCCACCGTCCCCGAGTTAGAAACTAACTCAGTACAAGCCGTTGCCTTCTCGAAGTGCACCGAGTGCAGATCGCCGTCTATCTCCATCGCGTACCTGTCAAAGTCATCGCATCTGAAGGCAATGTCGTCGTCCTCGTCTTCGTAGTCCATATTGTCATCTTCTATGTCGCTGTGTACGCGGTCGTCCGCCACTGATATTCCGGTGTTGTAAGATTTTTGCGGTTGTTGTGTTACAGGCATAGTCTCAAACGTTGGCATTTCGAATCCCTTTTCTGGGGACGGACTCCTCGTCTTCGAAGCTGAAACAAAACGTGAAATAATTATACGGTCTCACACGTAACCACTACGTCGTTCGTGGTGATCGTTACAGTCATGGTTGGGGTGATTCAAAACTAATGTCATTTTCGTTTAACCTATCATTTAAGATGCTAAGAGTGACATTCATTTTACCGGACAATATGTTATAGAAATGAGTATCGTTAATTGTTATATCGAAAACAAAACGTAAATTTTAAAAATCATATTAAAATACAATAAATATAAGTGCTCTTGGTTCTCGAGCATTATCACATTCAGGTATTCAAGTCGCTAATTGTTGATAACATATAAAATATAAAATTCAAGTATAGATAATAGATAAATGGTAATTTTTTTGGGAATAAATTGATCTAGCTAAATTTCATATATACTCCTAAAGATACAAAATTATTTTAATATTGATAAAAAAGTAAATTTATTTTTATTTAGTTAAAACAATTATACATACTGTTATTAATTTTAAGTGTTAGTTATAGTACAGTCCTTGCTCGGAGTTTAGGTTCGTACATACGTTTATATTGATAACAACTATATGGTATGAACACATTGTAGAATTATATTTTTAGAAATATAAACAAAATTTTGAATGCAGTTTAAGCATAAATATGCTATTATTTTTGTAATACTTAACATAACACAAGAAAATTTAGCACATTTTTATTGATTTAGCAACCTCCATGGTTAAATAATTTGGAAATAATACAACAATTCAACAATTTATTTATTCTTCATTTTATATATATTTTATACTAGACTAAAAAAAACAAAAAACAAAAAAGACTATCCTCTATTAGAGATATTTTAGATTTTGTGAAAGAGTTGAATTTGCTTATGTTTAAAAATAGATAGGTTCTACTACTTTTATAAAATTACTTATGATTTCATTATTTTATAATGTATTTTCATAAATTTTATAAAAATAAATAATATCTAAAATTTATTGAAATAATATCAAAAGTGTATGTATAGATATAATTTCAATTTTTATCTAGAAAAATTTCATCACTTACTTTCTATCCTCTCAAAGAATCATACTCCTATTTCATTTATTATTTTTGAGTTAATCTATTTCATTATATTTATTATTCCAGAATTATTTTTATTTTCCATAATCACCAATTTTATTTTGAAAACCAAGTTGTTTTTCTTTTTCGATGAATTGCTTTTAAAAAATATTAAAATAATAAATTTATATTTAAATACAATTTTTGATTATTAAATTAATCAAGAATGACAATATTACAAGTAGATGAAAAGTTTATACAAGAAAATATTATAATTTAATAACTTATAAATATATTCTCCTATGGTAAATTAATATTTCTTTGGTTAAATGGGTACTACAATTTTTAAATCAAATGAGTTAAAATATGTTAAATATGTTATTTAATATGAGAACAGTTAAGCCCAAAATGTTTATTAGCCTCTGTAATTGTGTGTCCGAATTTTGAAACAAGATATATGATATTATATTTATATATTTGACAATCGATACTATTACATGCAATAAATACTTAGAATATAACACTTAAAATCTATTACTTGTAAAACAGATAGCAATTTCAAATTAGTCGTATTGATTTTTATGTACGACTAATTAAAGTATATGCTTATGCGAACGTTCAATCTATTTATATATTCATTAAATAACCAGATGTGAGAGTATTAACCTTTAATTATTCTTTTATGGCGAATATTATAATGAATGGCAAAGGGATGTTTAAATTTTAGTTGGATACATTTTTACTATAGAAGTATAATATCCAAAACTTTTATCCAGTAAAACTGGTATAAAAAAGTTTTATGTACATTTTGATGACGTATATAAATAAATTATATTTTTTTCTCAATTTTTCTGTGTATTTATGTTTTACTTAGATTAATTAAAATTATACATTGACTACCTGATACCTCAACGTTCTAAGATCAGACAATTAATGTTTTCTTAAATAGAACAGTCTATCTTGAAAAAATATTATTCAATTCTAGTTTTACGGCATCATAATAAATAATGTATGCTTATTTATATATATATTTAAAATATGTGTGGTTCTAAGACATGTTTCTATTTTAATATTCATATAAAAATAACGTATAATACCTTTAAAAACTAAGTATAATTTACCTAGTTAAATAAATTCAATTCAACATTTGTAACTTAAATTAAATAAATACTAATGTAAATTTAAAACTATCAAATCGTATAATTGAACACATTTTAAGATGTCGCTTGAATTTTGCTGTAAGTGTGATAATAAAATATAAAAATTTTATGAATTAATTGTATAGTTCTTAATTTTATTCAGTTATTTTTCAATTATTTAACAATAAGATTTTTGATGGCGCGTAATGCGATTTATACTATACATATTATAATATGATAATGAAAACGAAAAAGGACTTTGTCACGAATTTATGTTAATTTTTTTTAATGAAAGCAAAATAGGTTATTTTACGTTTATACGTTTATATTGTTTCAATAAAAGTTAACCTTGAAAATGAAATATTTAAATTGATGATACATTTTTGAACTAGAATTTCCAGTTGGATTACTCCGTATAAGTTACAAGAACGAATCTTAGATAAAAGCACTTTCAGAAAGAAAAAAAAGGGAAACAAATATTTATAAAAGTATACTAAATAGTAAATAATAAGTAACATTATGAGGTTTTTTATAATTATTCTATACTACAATTAAACAAATTTAAAAAATATATACATAAGCTAAGTTGTTTTATAATTAATTTATGTTCAAGTTGATAAACTGTTAAATATTAATTTATGAATAACGATTTTAGCTATTTTATTGTAACTTAAAGTTATTATTTGTTAGTATTTGATACTTTTAACGAGTAGGTATAGTACTATTTTATACACGTAATGACATTTTAAAATTCAGTATTTTTCATAAAAATGAATTCAATTTATCGTATTTTTAATAGTAAAATAAATTAGTTTAATAAAAATAAAAATAATTAATAAATCATAAATTATTTATTAATAATTTGGTAAAAATGCAATATTCATGTTCAGCTACTATTAACGTGTATATTTTTATTCAAATCGTGTTTTTTGAATTTTTTTTCTTAACCATATTACAGTAATAAAAAACTTATATTTTCAAATATTTAATGTTTTATAAATTTTGAAGAGTTTTATAACTGTAGTACATAACGTATATAAAAGTGTAATTTAAACTGAGTAGGCGTATAGGTATACATTAGATGCCCAAAGGTGTTATTATTTATTTTATTAGAACATAATACCTATACGCGATAGACTTGCAATCGAAAATAAAAAGTTATAATATAATAGCATAAACCAAAAAATAGTTAAATATCTCAGAAAGAATAACAATAAAAACTCAAATCAATTCAATAGTTGCAGTAAAATACGCTACTACTCAGTGGGGAGTCAAAGTATCTTAGGCATAAGATATAATAATATGTAAGATTTAACCTAATTGTCAAATAGAATTCTGTGGAAATCTATTATTACCTAAGCTCATTAAGACATTTTTATTCTACTGTGAATTAATTGTGTATTATTAACAAAAAAACGAATAGAATAAAAAACATGATACAATAACTATTAAAGAAGGTTGACAAGTGGGTTTAGATGCTGCAAAGTAAGTTCTGAATGATCAGTGAAATGAATGTGTTAAATTTGAATTCAATAATACATCATTGTACACGAAAAACTATTCTAAACAAAAACGGAATGGTTTGTTAGCATTTTTTACATTAGGATGTTTCCATATAATTACAAAAGTAATTTATTTTAAAAATTTATCCGTAAAAAATTACGGTGGTTGATTAAATTGTTTCTGATGACATTTCATTTATTATATAATTAACATTTGATTATTATGATATAATTACAAATATAACTTATACCATTTTATATTATTTTTATTAACTTTTGATTCAATATCATCTTAGCATAAAATAATATGATTAGATTCAAGGTATACATAAATAAAACTCAGCATTAATCTAATTTTATTATTTTGAAAATAGTGTTGTATGAATTAAAATTCATAATATATGTAAAAATATAAAGTTTATGTTTTAAACTATAAAATAATTATGAATATTGTTCATAATTATTCATTGTTAAAATATGCAATTTTGACCAAATTTGAACATCATATATCTATATAAAATAGTTATGTTTATACATTTCTTATATTATTTAATACGAATTACATGAAGTTCATAAAAAATTTAACTTTATAAGATGGATATAGAAATTTTACATATTATTTATTTTAAATATGTCTATATATATATATATATATATATATATATATATATATATATATATATATATATACATATATAAATATATTATATAAGAATAATATATTATGTGAGATATTATATAAGATGTTCTTGATGTAGTGAACTTTTTTTTTTTTTAAAGATTTATAAAAGAACAATTTTAAATTTCAACCAGCTACTGTTTGTTTTTGAATTCCATTAAAATAAAAAATACTGTTTGAGGATAAATGTTTATTTAATGGATGAATATGCAATTTCATGACAATTTGAACTTAAAACACTCATAATTAATTAATTTAAATTTCTGGAAGAAACTTTTTTTAATATACACTAACAACTTTTAAAAAATGTTGTATTAAATTTTTGAATTTTACGAATGAGTTTTGAATTATTATCTTGAAAAAATTATAAATAAATACATTTTTAACCACAAAGTAGTCACGGTATTGATGAAATTCGTTAAAATTCTCATTATAAGTGCTTATAATTTTTTTTATGGATTTACGCTCTTTTGTTTTCTTAGTAGTTAGGTGATTTTTGTGAAAATTTTTCATTCGAGAACTATAATGTTTTCGAAATAAGTGGTTAAATTCGTTTCAGGTTATTATTAGTTAATTAATAGTTTTGTAGGTGATTACGTATTATTTTACGATAGTATACTTAAAGAGAGATGTATGCGTATATAATATATTCTAGCA